CAGCAACGACTGCGCAAAAGCAGCCTACGAATGAATGTGATGGTGGAGACGAGACAGAATTGAACATTGGAAGGCTTACCTTGGTTTGGTATTGGCACATGTCTCACATAATCCTCGAGGAATTGCGAACACACCGCGGGACGTGCTCGTGGCACGTGTTATTGCACCTCCCACCTACAATACTACAAAATATACCTTAACGAACACCACCCCCGCCCTCTTGTGGCCTTAGGTGGTGAAGCACTACGAGGGTATCGGCGACGTGGCGTTCGTGATGCGCGAGACCGACGGGCTCTGGGTAAGGGCGAACAGACCAGGAGTGGCGCTGATGCTGGACGTCTTCACGAATGTCCACGAATTCGGGGCATACACCTACAGGGTTTCCCACGAGAATGGCGTCGTCGTCAGGACCGCCCCAGGCTTGGACGCGCCAGCCGTCAAGGTGTGCTTGTGTGATTGTTACCAAGTGTATTCTTTTTGTGTGGCTGGTGTGTTGATTCGGGGCGTGTGCTTATGTTCGTGCCAATGGGTACAGTTCGGGTACGTGGTATGAGAGTGCGAAACCAGAATGTGGGAGGTGGGTTGTTCGTGTTCGTGATAGGGATGGTAATACCTCTCCAATACCTCTCCAATACCTCTCCAAACGCTTCGACGGCGGTGAGGTTTGTGACCGAAGTACAACGGACTGTGACGGGGTAACAAAAATGACCTTGATTCCTCTCCTTCGCACGCTTGTCCTGCGTGCTGTCGTCCTCGCAGCCAAGACAACGGGCAACAAAATGACCTTGACCTCCCTCCTTCGCACGCTTCTCTTTCTTCACTGCTGTGTACTCGCAGCCAAGACGAATCCTTCCGGTGACGAAGCTCGTGAACGTGTCAGAGCGGCTTACAAGAGCGGAGGACATCATGAATCTCTCTCGCCCTCCCATTTTCCTCCGGCAAGTATTTTTCTCTTGCGTCTTTCGTTTCGTCCCCAATTGTATGCACATTTTGGTTGTAGCTTTTCTCCAATCCGTTGCTTCCTCGCTGATACCACAAGATGGACGACATACCCCCCTCTTGGGTTTACGTATTGCTCGTTTCGTCTGTGGCCTTTGCCATCAAAGAATTACAGCCTTCCGAGGCTGTATCCGCCGTCCATCCGAACGTGATGTTGCCCCGTGCATCTAGACTAGCCTTGCTAGTTTATTTGGCGCCCTCTTTTTGCGCGTCTATCCCTGCCGTTCTGTCTGCCTTCCGTCTTGTCTCTGTCTGTGTGCGTGTCTCTCTCTCTCTCTCTCTGATTCTCATTCTCTTAAAGCTCGGTCTCATTATGTCTCCCTCTCTCTCCCATTCAGGTTGGCGGGTAACGATGGCTGGGTGTTCGATCGTCGCGGCCACACCCTGGTGTGCGAAGACGTGACTGTCAAGTCCAGGTACGCCGCAAATAATGAAAGTGCTGCTCTGTCCTTCCTTACCGTTTTTTTTGCGAAATGGCCGCAGGCTCGTCGACCAATCAGATAACAGGACCAAACTCAGACACCTTGTGGGGTAGCGGCAGTACAAGTACGGTAGTTGATACTGTACCTCCGGGAGCCGGCAATCTCCATACTTGTACATTCGCGGAAGGCATGCGTTGGATCCGCCGGTCAATCGAGCGGCCGGTGCTGGAGTGAGCGCAATGCCTTCCTCAATACGCTAAGAAGATGGCTTCATTTCGCCTGCGCCTGGCAGCCTTCCCCTACAATTGTACAGACCAAGTTTTGGCGAGTTGTCTCCTCGACGCCACCGATCCATCACTTTTTTTTTTTTGCCTTCACTTATTGATGCGTGTTCTTTTTTTTTTTTCCTTTGTCCCATAAGACGTGTTGGAGTTGACGAGGCTCATGTAGCGACAACCCGGGCGGCCATGGATTCCTGTCTTGTTGCTTCTGGATAATACTCGTCATGCACCACAAGGTTTTCCCGCGGGTGAGAGCGACTCGCGGTATTGTCGGCGACACTGACGCGTCGAAACCTCCCTCCCATGGGACGAATTGGCCTATTGCTGTCTGCCTCCGCCGTCTTCTCACCGTTTGGCTTGTTTCCGGCAGGATCGCTACGGCCAACGCCATCACGTCGGAAGCGGCGCGATTATCGCTCGGATGCGTCGCGCCATGAAGACACGCCGCAAATAACCGCACCGCGTATTGAAGGCCAGCGTCGGGGTTGGAGGCTTTTTGCCTCGACCGAAGCGCTTTCGTCGTCGAATTTTGTAGCTGTAGCACTCCACGCCCCCATGCGCGTGGATGAATGTGCAGCATTTCCGCAGGAGCAGCCCGTCGACCATGGTCTAGGTCTTTCTGAGGTGGGTTTTGTCCACTACCGTTTGGCAGTTTGTTGAAAGTGCTATTTACATATAGGTCTATCGGCATTTGTGCAGGGAAGATAGACTCCAGGCAAGTACGTAATCGCCGTCAACTGCTCTTGGCGGGGTCGATATCTTGTTCGGTGACCTCCTGCTGCACGGGTTTCCGAATGGATTGTCTGTGTGTGTCGGGCGGGGGGGGGTGTTACGATTTCACGGTTGTGGCAAGAGAGAGCGTTGGTGAGCACGTGTCCGCGCTTATGTCGCAAGAAGGACGGTGAGGATAATCGATCGCACTGGCCAAGAATTTGCGTGCTGAAATTGTTAAACATTAGACCGGAGGGAGGGACAAATTTTTCACGTGCTAATACGGACACGGTGTATTGAGGCGGGTGTGATTTTTTCCACGTGTTGACCAAGTGTGATGACCGCAAACGATGCAGCGCTTCGACACTAGAGTACAGGGGGTGTTTCTCCGTGAATGCAATATGCCCATTTGGCCGGAGATTTTTCCAAAGTCTCTTACCTTTGCAGGTTCAAATGCATCCCCTTCTTTCTGCATGATACTATACTGGATTTTGTCTTCGTTCTTGTTTCTACGGGAGTGGGTGGGTTGGGGGTGTGCGGGACAATTTCCGTGAACCTGTTTTTGATGTGGTGTGGAAGAATTTTCTCGATTTGCGGTGAATTGAAGGCATGATACATGACATGAGGACTCTTCGGATCTCTGCCTAATCCTGGAGAGTTGGGGAAGTAGATTGGTGTTCGTGACGTTCGGATCTTTTTTTTTTCTGAATGTAACGAAGGAATGTTAACCGAACAGCCGTTTAACCAAACAAGGGGGGGGGGGTATTCATAGTTGTGCATGCCGTAGTTGTTAGACCATTGACCTCGCATCCCTACAAAGCCGGGAAGGAGCACACCGGGTTCTCACCGGACCAGGCTCTCACATCACCAAGCGCGAAGCGCCGTGAGATATTCGGCGAGTCGCATGAAGGGTGCGCTGCATCCTGCTAAGGGTTTTCGGCATCTTGTGCTTACTTCCTTGCATACGGATGACAACTGCGTATGACTTGACTTATTTTCTGGCGCTTTACTTCTAGAGACAGTTGTAAGCACTGTGTAACTGCATCGAGGGTGCTTGACCATTTTAACACAACATGGTGCGATCATCCCCCTTGCGCGGAGTGAGGGTCCTCGACCCCGCACAACATGATCTACTCGACCACCATTATGGTTACCGCAAAAAAAAAAAAGGTAAAAAAAAACAAACGGTAATCTGGTTGCCAAGTTCACGAAGTGAATCGGCTTTGTTTTACAACGTTGTTGCCAAGCGACGAAAACCCAACCCCGATGGCAAACACTGGGGGGGGAAGGGGGGGATTTAGCAGCGTTTTGTGAAGGCGGTAGAGACGGGGGCGGGCGTCCAGCCACATGCCCCGATATTTTTTGCATCGACCAGACTGTACGATTCCTGTTTCAGTTTTGCTGGTCTGACCACCTTCATTCAAGCGGTTGGCGACCGATTCATGGGTTTGCCATGTAATATTCTTGGGTTGAAAATCGGCGTTCTTGGTCAGGCTAGGGTTAGGGTTACTCACAGCCTCAGATCACCCTTGGCGTGACGAGAGTCTCGCCTTGACACCGAAGAGCAAACACCTACCATATTCTAATCATACAATGTGGGATTCTCCTGCGAAAGAGTCTGCTCATGGTTGTCATGCTCCGTGTAAAAAAGACGGAGAGCCTTTGCAATACGACGGGTGCTGTGATACACCAACGTTTGGTTCCATTGCTTTACGGCAAGATTGCACTCGTATTACAATACGTTACAGTGGTGTCAAGCTTGCATCATGCGTTTGACTGAATTGTGGTGGTGGATGTGCTGGTGGAACTTCATCACGGCGGGACCAGGCTTCGTAGCTCGGGCCTAATAGCCAGCGACGGGGCGAGAAGAACATCATCGTCCGCGAACACAGTTAATCCTCGGATCGCTGGCTGGCTCCAATATGATAATGGGGCTCGTTGCCCGCGTGTGGAGTTGTGTTTTTTAGTTGCGCCAGGAAGATAGACAGAAATTGGGGCCAAGCAGCCTGCCTTGCGACACGGTATTGGGGGACACCGAAAATGAAGTGTGTCCCTTGGCAGTAGGATATCAAAACTCTGAGATTTTCGAAGTCTCCAGATTATGATTGGCATATACAGGTGGATACTCCATACGCCGCCGAAGGTACCGGAAATCCCGCCAAATCCCGCCGATTTGCCCTCAATAAAGCCAGCCAAGTGCGCCAGAGGAGCAAAGATTGAGTCCGTTTGGGCTGCGCTCCTCACGTCTCCTGGCATTTGGGACAAACCAGCAGTTCGGACTCAGACTTTGTGTGATCCTCAGCTATCTATCTCTGATAATGCTTCAGGAGGATGGGCTGTACTGCTGTAGAAACGCACTACTGCAGCCCTGACGTGAATCGTCCTACCCACTTAACTTGACCCGGCCACCCCATACGAGGCACCTTGACGTCAGGCTCGAATGTGTACGGCACAAAATTGTCTGCGCCAACATCAGAGAGTGCGGATGTATGAAACGTTGTGAATATCATTTATTGTGTATATTGCTAAAAATACATGTCGTTGAGCAGAGGCAGAGACAGACAAACTTCGTAGCGTACATCAGTGTTCAGACCAGGCCAGCCAGCCGATGTTTAATACTGACTGAATGTAGAAACCATACGTGAGCTCGCCGCATGAGAGCAGAATGCCATCAAGGGGTGATGCAAGGTGACAGTAACAGCAGGGTTAATCACCAACCCACAGCCAGCTGCAAGCTGCGGTGTGAAGTTTCTCAGGCTCAGCAGCTCACACAGCGAACGTATTCTTACTCGGAAGAGCCTAGCGAACCTCATCGATCCAAGACGAAAATATGACAAACCCCATGATCAAGTTTATTGAATGGGCGGGGTTGGGCGCTTGCAAAGAGGAAATTCTCGCCCCCACAACACAAACCGCCCACTCACACACGCAATATCAAGACTATGTACCGAGGTCCTCCACCTTGTGAACGCAAAGCGTACGATTGAGTAGGGTGGGGAAGATCGCCGCACAGTGCATACAAGCATGCCCATCCTCGAAAAACAATACTAAGTTACATGTGAGTTCGATGTCCAAAGATCCAAGCCGCAAGAAAGAAACAAACCCGGTAAGCAACAGAACATAATGCCATCGAGAAAACTGTAGACCCAGTATGAAATTTGCATGTATACCTAATCTTATATTCCTCTGCTCTGCGGTTTATCTTCATCCCCCTTCTTGTGCCCTCTCTCAGAAGTCACCAATCCCCCTTCATCTACAATGTCGCGCAACCGCTGTTGGCACGCAGAACGGCGAAATTCGGTACTATCAGGTGGGAAGTGCGACATGAGCGGTCTGCATGGATGGGTGATGGACAACAAGAATGAGGATGCGAAAGCAATTTGAACTACTATTATAAATACTGCTGCCATGAGTGTGGGTGTACCGATACGAACATCGCCGTGGCAGCGGGTGGGAAGAGGAAATCATCAAGACATACAATACACAATTCATGCGGCAATTATCCAGTTCCAAGAAGTTTCGACCCGTATCAAAACTTCGAACGCCGTTCCTGACCGAGGGGCTGCAGAAAAGTCTAGCCGTCGACGCCCTGCACCGTGTCTGCTTCGGCAATGACTGAAACGACCGCTATACAATGGGTGACGTAGACGGTACGGGCAACATCAGCCCATCGCACCGCACGAAAACTCTGCGAAGACAAGTAACACCGCCAGCCAATCGCACAATACGCCATGCCCTTCAACATGCGTTGGAATTGCAGGGATACGAAAGTTGAAGCACAGGAAGATCGAAGGTGACTGGTGGGTCGCGCCGTGCCGCGAGCCTCGTTCAAATGGTCCGAAGGAACAAAGTACACGGCTTCGTTCCAAAAAGTGTACTTCCTTGTTTCCCACCTACCAACGGCGGCGCGTCTACGAACATCCTCAGGTCTCGCACATGCAGAGAGACTCACTCCCGCGAGTAAAACTTGTTCCTGTCCACACAGCTTCGCGAGCAACTCTAAGGGGGCGCACGCGTGCATGCATGCGCAGTCCGGTGGACTCGCACCCCTGCAGACATCTCGATGTGGCCAGCGGGCCCCTCAGGGTGATCGCAACCTGTTAGGACTTTATGAGGAACACGTTTTGAGCCCTGTCACCACCACACACCAAGTCCGAGTCGCCTGGGCACTTCATGTGACAGATGGCGGGTCCATGTTTGTTGTAGTCCTCTTTCCGTGCACCGCAGAAGCACCTTGCGGGTACATTTGAAAATGCAAGGAAAAAAGATCGCGCAATTTGGCTGCGGGGAAACGTGAATACAGGAGACAACAGCACCGTATGCATGGTACACAGAAATATCTGAATTCAATACGCTGCATGCCATTGTTGACTCAATGTTGAGGTCGGCTTGCAGCGGCAACACCGACAACAGCGGCAGAAACTAAACCGACACCCGCGGCAGTGACCGTTACAACAATGGCAGCGTCTCCACCATCACTGACGACGAACGATGACAACAACAACACGGCGGTATTGCCGACATCTTCAACTCACTCTTGGCCGTATTGGAGTGCGAAGTACCTTGCGTCCTCCTTGTCACATATCTTCTTACACGCCTGAAACAGCGCGGAACATGTATGCATAGTACCAGTTTCATTTGCGTCATACGAAGACCAACAACATCATCCTCCGAGGAAAAGCATCAATCAATCGTTCTGTATATGTGCATCAGCAGACAAGAAGAGCGCTGCCTATACGATACACAGAACCAAAGGCAATCCGAAGAGCAAACTGGGAAACATCAATGATGATACTCGCATCGTAGTCCATTTTGGAGGTTGTGGTGAATTTGAGCTTGAGCGCCCTATCGCTGGGTTTGTCCGCAAAGCAGCCCAGGTACTTGGTGCCCTTTGGTATGTCATCCGGCTTGCCCTCGTGCTGGTACACGTCCATTGCGTATTTCCCTGATCAGTGCAGTGAACACAACCGCTTCATTGGATGTCGTTGCTTTTTGGTGGTCGAGACAAGCACCACAGAGCTCCTACCATATTCATTTCGCCAGATGGACCCGTCTCTACTATTTTTAGCGTTCCGTGCGGGTTGTTTGCACTTCTTTCGTCGGTTGTCTTGGCGGTGTTTGGGCTATTGAGAGAGTTTGACTCGCACGACCATCCGCAGCAACGGGCATCTGCGGCCTTCTATCACGCCCATTCTACCTCAAACGGTAGGCTCCGCCCACCTAAAATATCAGACGCCAGAACAAAGGATTCGGAAGAATAAGTTTTAGGTAAGCAAAACGAGCAAACGTCACACCTTCAGTAGCCCCTTGTCATTTTTCACACCGTCAGCGTTATAGATTTAGTGAGAGGTCAGTACCAACGGTAGCTAGGTTGGCGCCAACGGTAGGTCGTCGACGTACCGCCGCAATTCTTGGTAGAACTATCGCCTGCGCAGGCCATGGTGCACTTCTTTGACTCCCCGTGCCTCCTGGGCCTGTCTTCGGAAGAGCCGCACCAACACTGAACGAACGATCGATGGCAACGAGCAAGCAGATTGCCGCGGTGGGGGGAGTTAAAAATCTCCAAAGAATAACGAACAACTGAGGTCAGGCATGCTGAGAATCTCTACACCGTGACAAGGTGTTTCGAGTGCAGTTTTTTCAGCGATTGCAGTCGACATCGTGGCCAAGGTACGCTTGATCATAAAGAGCGCCGTTTGTTTTCCCGTCCACCCTTGATCTCGACGGCCATCCTCCCACTACCATTACCCTCAGAAGTAAGGTTCGCACACGGTGTTAAGTCTCCAAGCTTCCTACACGTTTTGCCCTGCTACTACGACGGGTGTGCGCTTGCGCTAGTTTCATGCCTCACCCTGATCTCTGACATCAGTGACACACCTCTGTTGGAATCGTGAAAATTTTGAAATCATGTCCAATAAACTTAACTACAATGTCAACCAATTTTCTCCTCAAAAGAACAAGTGCGAACCGAGAAATATTCCATTTGATTGAGTCAACTCGACAAATGAAATCAGGGCCCCGAGTTGATAGGACATCAGGTGTCCTCCAGTAGGGGGAGAAGCGAACGCAACCACCAAACGAAGAGGCAACAATTATTCCACGCATAGAAGTCAAAGTGGTATCTTCATTGATTGCAGATCCCAACCGATATTTGTCACCTCATTCCCATACTGCATCCCGAAGTACTTGGAGTCGTCGCAGAGATCAGCACACATCTGGCGTTGACAGGAAACGTTGTAACGAGGGACGCTTCGTCAGGCAACAAGCGGCGCAGGGCGATGTCAAGAGGGTTCTTGAACATCGCTACCAAGACCACCACGGCCTGAAAAATTCGATCCCAACAGCGTTGCCCATGAGAGATTTCTGGCGAAATGCCGGGCGACTTGCACAATTTTCCTTCCGTGCATGGCATGGTGCGCCTCTACGTGGAGCTGTAGGGTCTGTAGATACACGTGTGGAGCCCTAATAGCGTGTAACCTCCTTAGGGCAGGCGCGTGGTTTGTGTTTGTGTAAAAAACAACCGGCGCTATTGCGGGATGTACAGGTGCCCAAACCGGCGTTATTGAGGGCCACCCTCAATAATGCCGGTGTGGCGCTATTGAGGGCTCTGGCTGTGCCCAGCCATTTCACCGGTGCTTAAGAGGGCCACCGGCGTTATTCAACCTGCGTTATTGAGAGCCTCCCACTGTACTAACAACAAACAGCGAGAGTAAAGAGACAGAGGCTAAGCATGGCTGCGAAGCTGCAAAGGAACACCCTGAAGCCTCGATTTGAGTTGACATGTTGCCATGTCGGCTCGTGAAGACTCCCCTTCATCGCCAAGGCAAAACCGTGAGTTTTCACCCAAACGATCGTGGCGTTGGTTACCGGCAACTCATATCAACGTTCGATGAACCATCGTCAAAGCATGCACGAGGACTCGAGAACCCTAGGTTTCTTATCACTGCGCTGGTCCCGTTGAAAGAGTTTCTTATCGTGCGCTTCCCATGTGTTCCGGAAGAACAGGACCCGCTCATAACGTCACTATCGCCATCAACGGCGTCGTCGATCATTTCGTTGTAACGGAACAGACTTCACGAGTCCCTCCTGGTGGGACCTAGTTTTCTGTACTTACCGCCGTGGTCATGTGGGCGTCGACGTACTTTTTTCCGAAGATACGCTTGTCTTTCTCGTCCTCGAAGCAACCACGGTACAAGTGCCCTTTGGAGTCGTCTTCGTCTTATACGCGTTGGACACGGTGGGAACATCGAAACAAGGCGCTGCATCTTAACGAACGCGATTCGACGAAGCACGCAAACCTTTGGGTCGACGAACCTTCGCAGGAGTTTCTGTTTGATAAGTGAACACGTTATCGTCGACCTTCTGCAATGATGGCGGAGAACTTAGTCTGCTTTGATGACGATGCCCACCATGGGACTACAGCGTCGTTTGCCGGGCGCAAGCAAGCGTCTCCGGATGTACATGGTAATTTTGTGCGCTTCGATACTGTGTTTGGGGCCTGTATTGCAGCCACGATTAATGGTTGGAGTGGCGATATCTTTGTCCAACTTGTAAGTCTAGAGGAATACCTCAGGCATGAGACGGAGAGTTGGGATTTCTACACCTTAGTATTTAGCTGGACATTTTCTGCAGGTATGTAGGATTGTCATCGCTACAAGGAATACTTTCGGGTTGGACATGAGAGACTATCACGTGCTTTCGATGGACTTTACATAATTCCGCCCAAACTCGTCCTATGGGGTTGAGAAGTTCGTATTGTGAACACCAGGTGTTGTTGTCTCGAGGAGCCAGCCTGTACACGTTGCGGCTTTCGGACGATGAAACAAAGGACACAATGAAATCTTGACCACCAACCGCTGGGGGGGGGGTCGTACTCTTATGTTTTGCATGCCTTAGCGGTTAGACCATTGACCACGCGTCCTCGAGAGGACGGAGCATTGTTCCCACAGGACCGATCACCGATGGCCAATCGTTCCTTTCTACTTTGCCAAAGGTGG